TCAGAGAAAACATTCGGGCTTTGTTTTTTGGAGTTTGGCTTATTTCACTTAGCATGATATTCTCCAGCTCCATCCATTTTCTTGCAAATGCCATAATTTCATTCTTCTTTAAAGCTGAGTAATATTCTTTTTGTCTATGTGTACCACATCTTCTTTATCCATTAATCTGTTGAAGGACATGCAGGTTGGTTCCATAGTTCAGTTATTGTGAATTGAGCTGCTGTTAACATTGATGTGGCTGCATCACTCACACACACAAAAAGAAAACAAAACAAATAAACAAACAAAAACAGGACACTAGAAGCAATCTTTAAGCACATTAGGGTCTTAATAGGACCTAACAAATGTAGCCAGGGGAATGTCAGGATAGGAATAAATGGCAGGATGATATTACAAAGAAATCTCCATATGCCTTGATCAATGGGAAGATTAGAATACGAGTAAGAGAATTCCAAAATTGATCCCAATAATTTAGCAGCATTTTAAAAAATTGTCCTCACAGCATACTTTATGATCCATCAAGTTGTAAATCAGGATATGTAATAGTATCTGATTTTTTGTTAGAAGTAGCAAAAAAAAAAAAAAGAATAAGTGTCAGAAAGGACTGATGCTAAAATTAGTGCCATTTTCCTCTGGGGACTGAGAATGGAAAGATGTGGATATAGAGTGTTCTTAAAATATTTACTTTGATTAATTTGTAAAGCTTTATTTTTGACTTTTTAAAAATGATAATATAAGAACATACTAAATTTGAAAATTTCATACCATTACAAGCAAACAGTACCACTGACAGGAACAGTGAGGTCTGAAAAGATTGTTTGACTCTAGAAAAGATGATGATTAGATGTATATTAATGTGTAATTGGTATAAAGTGGGAATGAGACAAGGCCGTGCATTGTGGTAGCTGCGGGCAACAGCATAGGGAGGGCCTGGGCAGGCTTTCTTCATTGTGGTTCTTGTAGATTTCAGATGACAGCCATTGTGCATATGGAATGAACTTGCCATTAGGACTGCAGGTTCAAAGCAAGACTCCCAAGTCCATGTCCTGGGAAGTAGCACCACAGATCTTTTCTAAGCTGTGTGGTGCCAGGATTAGAGGGAGTGTCTCTGACATAGCCTGAAATGGTAGCTTATGTCATCTCCCTGACTTATCAATAGTAAACTCTGGGTCTTTCAACCCAATATGAGAGTTAGTAGACAGTGCCACATCCTATTTTTCTTACTAGTCTTTATGAACTATCACCACCTTGTTTTTTTACTTTTAATCTGAGATATTTTTATCTGTCTTCATATCTATATTTATATCAATATCCATATCATCTATGATTAATGGCTATAGATAGATATCTCTGCTTGTCTGTTCAGTATTTATTCAAATTTACCCTTGAACAATACTGTTTGGGGACATTAGAGTGCAATCATATTATAAAAAATGGATCCATGCTGGCTTTATGATGGCATGTTATAGAGCCAGTATTTTATTACAGATTATTGATTGTTTCTCCAGATGGATTTACACTGATATGTCTAAGAAAATGCTTGCAGAAGAGCCTATTCTAGCTTGTTGACCCTAGCAATATGTTCCCCAGAATACTTTATTTTTTAACCTCAATAGCTTAAAAAAATTATACAGAGAAAGAAACACTTAGGTATTTTACTAAATGAATTTTATCTCCAAAGCCCAATAATAAAAATTTTAATACATGTAAAAAATGCATTTTTTGGATTTTTTGGATTTTTTTTGGATTATTATTTTATTAAACATTTAGTTCATAAACCTGATTTTCTCTAAATTTATACTCATCTAGAGTATTCATTAATCTTTGGTTTTTGTTTGTTTTTCTTCTGTTTTTTTTTTTCATTATCTGTCTTTCTATGATATAAATTGTGCTCTTGATTGTATTTTATTCTAGCATGGCTTCCAATCACCTCCTAGAAGGTTGCTTCTACTAGTTCCAAAATACTTTTCAGGTTCTCATACTCCTGATTTTTCTCCTTCTCCATAGTCAAAAATTTTGAACTATTTATTTATTTATTTATTTATTTATTTATTGGAGTGGTATTCAGTTTCTGAAATATTTACTTCTCACTTACTTATGTCCTTTTGTTCTTCTAACATGACTGCCCCCTAAATAC